AGCCTTGCTATCTTTCTGGGTACACGAGGGGGACTTATTGATATCTCTTTGAGTGCATGAGTGGACTTGTGTGTGTGTGATAAGATGCTTTCTGCTGAGTGCATTTTCCTTCACATCTCTGTTTCTCTTTTGAGCTCATGAGTGGGAGTGCAAGAGTGCCTCGTTATCCTCCATGAGTACATGTTTAATTTATAACATTACACGAGTGATCTTTAAGCCTCCTTGAGTACATGTGTGAATATATAGGTCTCCAAGATCAGTATCAAACTGCATTGTTTGAACTCAGGAAACTACAGTAGTTTCGGTACGATTGCGCACCATGGATTTCACTCTATAATGAAACACGCAATTTATCATCGTAATAGCCAATAACGCGATTAATCAGACTATCGTTAAACCCCCGCTAACAACGCACTCTATCACAACATTGGCAACGGATGAAACGTTGGCAAATATAATAACATCATTTAGAGACCTAAATCACGACTCCTTCAAGGCAATGTACACAACCTATGTTAGACCAATACTGGCTTATGCAGCACCGGCATGGAATCCGAACCTCGTGAAAACCTGCTAAGCTATGCACCATGACTGGTGCCGGAGGTAAAAGGACTGAACTATGAGGACAATTACCACCGGCTAGCACAAACTGCGCTATTCCAACATAAGGGGCTACAATGTTGCTGCAAAGTTGCCATAATGGAACACTACTAAAGCGTTAAAGAGCGAACGTTGCTGGAAGGTTGCCACAAGGGAACACTACTAAAGCGTTAAAGAGCGAACGTTGCTGCAAAGTTGCCACAAGGGAACACTACTGAAGCCTTAAAGAGCGAACGTTGCTGCAAAGTTGCCACAAGGGAACACTACTAAAGCGTTAAAGAGAGCGAACGTTGCGGCAAAGTTGCCATAAGGGAACACTACTAAAGTGTTAAAGAGAGCGAACGTTGCGGCAAAGTTGCCACAAGGGAACATTACTGAAGCCTTAAAGAGCGAACGTTGCTGCAAAGTTGCCACAAGGGAACACTACTAAAGCGTTAAAGAGAGCGAACGTTGCGGCAAAGTTGCCATAAGGGAACACTACTAAAGCGGTAAAGATCGAACGTTGCTGGAAAGTTCTACCATCGCTAGGACGCCACTTTTAGCCTTATCGGCTGAACTAAACTATTCTGATAGCTGGACATGTCGACCCCGCCTACAAGTGTCACTTTCGTTACCGTCAGAGTTCATAGGCACTCCTTCGAGTGCATGCTAAGTGCCTGCACCTTCACGAGCATGACAGCTACGAGTAAATATGAGCATGTCTGGCGAACATGATAGATGAACATGACTGTGAAAGGTGTTCTTCGTGGTTCAGGAGCATAAATGATGTAAATCTCTGGGGAAACATGACTTGGGGTAAGTGTCTGGGGAACATGACTGGGGAAAACGTGTATAACTTAAGAGGTGATAGTGAATAACTGTCGAACGTCCATAAAAAACTGAAAAATGGACGTACGACCATTAAAACCCCTTAAAAACAATCGTACGACCATTAAAACCCTGAAAAACAATCATACGTCCATTAAAAACCATGAAAAACGGTCGTACGACCATTAAAACCCCTTAAAAACTATCGAACGTCCAAAAAAACAGGAAAACAGTCGTACGTCAACAGAAACTGTTGGACGTCTCGACAAAGAGATATCACACTCCTTAGTTGACGTACGACGGGTTTCAAGTCTCCTCTCACCTTCTCTCTCTCTCTCTCCAGTCGCTCAACACGTGAAATGCAAAAGGATAACAGGACCTATAAGCATGATTGAGATGACTTGAAGAGCTTTGATAACTACTTATAGCTCCTACGATATCCAGCCGAAACGTCTGAGGGATATGACAGCGGTCAAGGAAGATATACGGGGCAGTAAAGTGTGTTGATAAGTGCTTATAAGTCTAGGCTGCCAGAAGTGCCTTGTAACCACGGAAGATAAAGTGACAAGTGTGTACTTGGGCTTCAAGTCAGATGTAAGTGCATCTTCATCACCTGAGAGGTGCTATCATGGGGGTACCGGGCACAGTAGTAAGCTTTCAACGACCCCTAAGTTAATTCACGATATCTGAGTACACCTTTACGATATCCAGTGTAAAGTTAAGTTAAAGCTTTAAGTTAAGTTAAAGTGTAAAGTTAAAGTTAAGCTTTCAACGACCCCTAAGTTAATTCACGATATCAGAGTACACTTTTACGATATCCAGTGTACACTTGTACACCCATATGATGTACCGTATACACCTGTACACCCCTACGATACGTGTGTACAGTCATTATTCCCCCCATGTACACCCCCACGATATCCACATACGTCCCACGATATCCGTGTGTATCCTACGATATCCGTACACATCCCACGATATCCGTACACACTCCACGAATACCCAAACATCCATCTGATCAAAACCAACCCAATTTCAGCCCAGCCTAACCTAACCTAACCTAACCTAACCTAACCTAACCTAACCTAACCCA